AATCAGGTCAGAGTGTGCTGGCTCCTTCTATATGCTGCAAAAGCCACCAAAAAAAAAATAAATTGTAAGTTTAAAGCTCTCCAAGATGCCTACAGGAAGAAGAAAAATACAGGTGTTGAAGCTGAATGCAGCATCAGCTTTTCATTTTTCTGAAAGGAACTGATTTTAGCACAGTAGCAAACATACAGAGTTGCTAAAACTGATGCTGTATCTGAATGTTGTTGATTTTAGGAGCTCAGGGCTTCTGTGACAGTGAAGCCTTCAGTCATCGCACTGGAAAAGGTGGTCAGCTTTTTGGTGGGGACTGCAGCTGGAAAGACAAATTAGTAATTATTGACATCAGGTAATTTCTAAAATCCACCTCACATCATCTGCGAGTCAGCTGCTTCATCACTCAGGCAGTTCACAAAGATGAAAAACCCCGGGACAAAGCCCGCAGCATGCTTTGACGCCTGCGCTGAAGCCCCACCAACAGGCAAACGCCTGCAGGGAGGAGGACGGAGCAGTTTTTGGGCCAGCAGCCACTGCAGCTTGCTTCTCCCACCCTGTCCGAGGGCACCGCTTGTCCCGCACCCCGCGGCGAGCGCTCGGCCGCATCCCCTCCAGCAGAGCAGCGGCCTCCAGCTGCCTCCTCGTCGGGGTAACCCTGCCTTGCCCCAGCGCAAGGGGGAACCACGGCACCGTCTACCCAGTCACAGATATAAGGTAGGAACGTTTTGGTCACGAACAAGCAGAGTATTTATTAGATCTGTAAATATAAAGAGTCCTGAGGAGCTACACCAGACTGGAGGACAGGACGCGTACACCAGCTCTCGTGCTGCTCTGTCAGGGCTACATCCCCAGGTTTAGACACACGCCACTACGCGCAGAGCGACACACGGCAACCGCTGTGGTAGGAAGTGGGGCACTTTTTTTTCTTTTTAAAAAATCCCCAACAACTAAAGTCTCCCAAGTCTGATAGCTGGCAGGCACTTTGGTGTATCATGTAACAGGCCACCATCCCCAGGAGGACCATCTTCCTGGACCTCCAAGCAGTCTGGCTGGTACAGACCAGGTTGACCCAGTGAGCAGATATCCTGAACCCCTTGGAAGATCCCTTTTGCAGACTTCACACAGCTCTCCACCGCACAGGATCTGGACGTAGCGAGACGAGTCCGCAACCAGTGAGAAACTGCACTTTGCGCAGAGAAGGTCCCAGCTTCTCCTCCACGAGTACCAGAGGTCCCTCTTGCAGCCTCTCTTCCACCGCGACAGGCCCAGACTGATGTAAACCGTGTACGGCTGCGCTTTGCTTTTCCTGGCATGCTTTGGCTTCTGTCTTGGCACAGTTTCTTGGTTCAGGCACTAGACGTGTGGTGGGTTTTCTCCTTCCAACTGGGGATAAAGGAAATGTGCTACTCCCAGGTGAGAGCATCTGTCACAGTACATCATTAACTCTACATTTGATAAAATGCTTACTTTTCCCACACAAATCTTAGCTTTAAAACATAGAAGTGTATTCTGCATTTGAGAAAGATTTAACTTCTCTGTATAAACAGAACAGCACCTGGAACATCTTTGTTTCCCTTCTCCAATGCTAACCACTACACCAAGGCTGATCTTTTTGCACATCAGACATTCCGCCCTGCGGGAAAGAGAATCCCTATTGTCCCTCCCTATCAAAATAGTTTAGTATAGGTAAATAAAAAAATTCTGGAAGGTTTGATATGGATTTTTCATGGACAATTCCAGCACAGAAGGCCCACAAGGAAGGTTACAGGCGAGTGGGAGCAAGCCTTCAGTGACCTCACTACAGCAACACTAACTGGAGTTGCTGGCCTCGGGCTGCTTTAGGCAGCTCTCTCCCCTCAGGACCCCTGTCAAAGTGCAACATATTCCTAAGCAGTAATAACCAAGCCTTCCACATATGAAAAAGAGAAATCCAACCAAAAAGCAACAACCGCCTGCCCGCCAAATCTAAAGTATCTCTGTTTTTTGCCTAGCTGAATCCGACAGACAGCGCTACTCATGCACTGATGCCTCATTTTATTTTTCACATGCAGGACCTCCTCTTATTAGGCCTCTGATATATGGCCAGGCGCTGTTCGAATGACAACACCCCAGATCCATATTGGCTGTGTACAGTGCAAATGTGCCAGACACATGAATAATTCATCTTCAACTATGGAACTGCTTGTGCCATCTCCATAGTAATAAATGCAGTGATGCCCTTAATGCAGTAGATTATATATAAGCATTCCAAATCTCTTTAGAAGATTAGATTTTATGGGGGTACTAGAGGAACATCGATTAATAAACATGCTGGAAAAATAGCGTGGGAGGTGGAGGTGTTATCTTCACATACATCACTTGGAAACTCCCCCCCACTGCCCAAGCCTTGACACCTTGAGGGGAAAAGCAGCAACAAATTTTCTCCTATGGCTGTCCAGACACTAGAAAATGAGGCTAAATGACACAGACCACGGATAATCCTTCACTGGCTATCACCCAGTTTTTCCTTCGCTGCTCCCAGGCGCACCACCCTCTAGCTCCCAAGAGGACTGTTCAGGATGCTGCTTTTTCTGCTATTTCTGCTATTTTTTGAAAGCATAGGCCCTGACTATTCTCAGTAGCAACTATACATTAGAAAAGCACAGTGCTGAATGACTTATCCCTAAGTCAAGAGATAAGAAATTGTTAAGAAATTACTACTTATGATTATTTTCCACTCAATTTTCTCAATTCAAGTTTGCCAAATAGTCACCTAATTTAAAAAAAAAGTAATTAACATTTCAAATAGTTCAGTCAAAGCTTGGACCAAAAATACTTCATTATCAGGGCATGAATGTGAATTTTGTTTAAAATAATCCCTGGATATTTTGATATGCAAAAGAAAGCTACTAGCAGCAGCACCAATGAAAATGACCTTGTGTAGCACATCGATGAGTGCCCAGACGTCCTAGCATCAGACAGATTTTTTTTTTTACCCTGCCAGTAGCTTGCTTGGATAATCTTCTTTACCTAACATGAGATAAACGGATATTACTGAAGTGGTTTTATGGTTTGTGTTTTCATCCTTTAGTTGGTTATCCCTGCTTTATAGACAGGGAGACTCCAGTTTTAATTCACGCTAAAGTTCCTCAGTCAAGTCTGTATCCAAACTGGGAAGAGGCCAGTGGTTTGCAGAGCCTGGCCCTGGAAGACACCCCTGGAGAGCTGTGCACTTCCCAGCTGCGGGCCCCGCATCCCACGGCATCCCGCCACATCCCAACTAGTCCTAGCACAGCTAACAGACTGGTACCCAATGCTGCAGTTAGAAAGTTCAGATCTTCAGAGACAGGAGAGTAAAGTGCTATAGAGCATACGGAGCTGTTTCCAACCTGAAGTCATGTTGTTCTTTATGTACACAGTACTTTCCAGAAGATGCCTCAGCACAAGAAGAGATGGATCAAGTATTTAACACAACCATCTTCCCTAATACCTAGTAAGAAGCTGTGACTTGGTACGTTAGCATTTGAGAAAGGCACCGCAAATTCAGCTGACATGGCCAGAATTGTTATTAATCATCAGCATGACAGGTTGTCTCTCTGCTCCAACATCTGTACTGGAAAACGCTGGAGACATGAAAGCTCAAAGTAAAACACCTAACCAGTCACTTCAAACTCACGTTGCACAGTGCACTGCTCTGGTTCTGTCCCTGTCCGTCTGTAGAGCTGCCTTCCCTCTCACCCTCCACCGTCCAGGCGTCCCCAGCCGTCCTCCTCTCCGAGCCCTGCAGCAGCCTGGGACCTCCGCAAGAGGTTGCCTCCCTTCCCGTTTGTCTTACTGATGCCTGTTCCATCATATAAACACACGTGAAAGAAACATGTATGTGTGTGCAGCAGGCAGCGAGAACTAAAGAACTTCAGGCAATACTCTCCATCAGAAAATCATCGCTAACACAACTACTCATTTTGCAGTTGTAATTGTCATGAGTTACTTCCACTCATATAGCATCCGCGGCCCAACAGACTGATTCACTCAAGCCGCTGCTGAAATACTGTCCCTCCTGGTCTGCGCTTATTTAGCAGTTAGCCCAGTACGTGTCACATACACAAACCAGTTTAAAGCAAACCAGAATGCATTCAGGCAACCGAGCCTTCACTTCCTGTGAAAAGCTAACAATAAAAACTAATCAGATCCTGCTGTTCCTATGTTTTCTGCAGCACTGGACCCACTCAGATTGTCATCAAATATAACTAAGAGACCTAGCAACTGGTATCAATTCAGTCTGCTCTGCAGAGCTATTGTACCATGCAGTCTCTTAGCCCCATGCAGTACCTACCCTGCAAACCTGCCTGTTTTTCTACATTTCCAGTGTAGAAATAAGAAAGGCATGCCACTTGGCCAGAGTAGGAGAAGGAAGACTGGGGCTGAGAAGGAAAAATTAGAGAGAAACAGGAGAGCAGAATCTGGTGGACTTAAAGCACAGAAGGGAGCCTCAGAGACTTTTTTTTAACCCAAAGAGGAAACATGTCCAAATGGCTAATTACTATCCAGGTCCTTAGGTTACCTGGAGGATTTCAAGCCAATGACTAACGGAGTTCTTTTCCAAGGATGAATGGGCACTGTCACTTCCTAGTTACTCTTCCACTTGGCATAACAAATAAGATGCGAGCATCAAGAGGTACAGAGAGAACAGTTCTCTGCGTACAAAAGTGAATTCCTGCCTGTGAGGCTCAGGGATAACACGCCTCCTTCTGCAAGACACGCTCTACGAGGTATGCACAGACATGGCTGATGTCACGTCCAAGGAGAGTACACCAGTTCCCTGCTGTGCTATTTTGGGACCCAGTTCAGTACAGGAAAAAAACACGCCCTGACAAACAACTGTTAACAGCCTTGGTACCTCGGTGTTCCACCCAGTGCTGACCTGGACCAACTCCATTCACCTGCGAGTGTACGACTGACTGGAGATGCTCACTGCTGCATTAGTATAACCTTGTACTAACGGGCAGTAAGAGAACTAAAACACTCCGTTGTTTGACTTGAAAACATTCTATTTAATTTATACAAATAACTACTAAATAGAAAAAGTAGATTAAAACAAAATAGTTATTTTTCTGGCAGAGTTTAAATGCATATTATATAGCTTAGAAGAAATAAAATGCATCTTCCCCACAGCATTCATGACCTAAAATTCTAGTTAATTCCTCCATTGCTTTCCTCTTCTAGATCAGTAAGATACTAGACACAATGTCATGTGGGTAATGGCTATATATATGTTCCGTATTTGAACTGAAAATATGTTACAGATCACACACCTACAAATGTGAAGCACTTAAAATGTGACTATCAAGTTGTAATACGATAATACAGAAAACAATTTATGTTTCGGGTTATATTGTGTTACAAAAACATCTGTGTAAGAAATCATGAAAGAGGCCACATAAAAATAAGCTTTAACTTTATGCACTTATTTTACAGTTTAAAAAAACTGGCAAGTGCACTAGTAATAAATAATTTGCAAGTTTTGTATAAACGAGAAATTCCTAATGTTCAGCATTATTGTAAACATCAGTACACATGTAAAATGCAGCTAAAATCTGACAGTTACATTTTCAGTTTACCAAATTCATTTCCTATTATTCAGGCATAGATCAATGTAGTATACAGCCAATCATATTTTTGGCAAGTCATGTCATTAAAATTAACAGTGACAGTGCAAGTAAGGAATGCAAAGAATTCCTAGTGCAATAAAGAAGAGAAGCACAGGCAATATTGCTGATTAAAATTTACCACTTCCACGTGTTCACCCTGGGAGTGATTAGGAGAATTTAAAAAAAAAAAAAAAAAGAAAAAAAAAGAAAAGAAAAGAGCTGTTCAAAGCCATTATTTAATGCCCTGATCTTGTCTTAGGATTTCTCTGTCTTCCTTCAGGCCACTACCTTTGCAACAGTACATCCAGCGTGAGTCCTTATAGCTTGACCATTTGTGAAATGCCCATTGTAGTCACTGAGCACAGTCCGTATGGTTCCGATGTCTCCCACACAGATGGCTTGGTAAGAACTTCTGCCTCTATAAGTAGCCACATGGGGACCAACCGTATAAACTGCCTGGCCAGACTACTTCCGAACCAGACAAATGCCTTCCTGTCAGGAGAGCACCACGAGAAGAAGGTCAACAGTCAGCTTTCAGTTTATCTAAGGAATTATCAATTTTGGTCAAAGTCTTTTTGATTCGCAGGGCTGTTAGTCTTGCTGATGGATTTTGATACCAGCATTCTTTCATCAACTTGGCAAGAGACGTTAATGTCTGGGAAAAGAATGAAAAACACAAAACACGCATGTAAGTACACAAATCGCAAGCCACAAAAGCACTAGACCGGGTTAAGCACTAACACAATAAGGTTTTATTGCCTTATTAATACTCAGTTTTCAGAGTCTACAGAGAATGCACCACTATCTATCAAATATACAGCTTTCAAAAGTTGAAAAAAAAAAACCACACCCAAGTTTGATAGCTTGGTTAAACCAAGAGAATAGTTAGACAACAGGCTGACTGGAGTGACAAGGTAGCGTAACTTTAAACAGAGCTTTGTTGTTTTGTTTTGGTTTTTTCTAATTAAGAAAACACTCTACAGAATCTCTTTTCAATGAAACTGACTCCTGCAAGATCAATGAAGGAAGCCAGAAAAGGTACAGATTTTCTGCCTGTGATTTCATCATGTCCAGCGCAACTTTAAAAGGCTGGGATTCACAGCTGGCTGGTGCAGCAGGACAGGTCATGGCTCTACAACCAAAACCTTATAGATGGGACTTCTCAACCTTGCTGGCTGTAGCCAGCCGTACAGATTCAAACCGACCTCCACAGCTTCAGCAATAAGGAACAAAACAGTTGGTCAACCTGCAGACTCCAGACTGATTCTGATGAAGAAAAATAAACTCCAGCACTAGCCTTTCAAAAAGGACAACACTCCCGTATCCTGTCAGCAGGAGAGACCAAAATTCTGTTCTAAATCTGCATACTTGTAACCACAGAAAGTCCTACACAGGCTACCTTCCCCTTAAAGAAGTTTTCCTCTTGGAGAGAGAATAAACAACATAGGAAGCACAGCTTTAAAATAGTTATTGTTAAATCACACTACTAAAAGGCTAATCCATGAATAGCTCAGACTTAACAGCCGTAAGTTTGCTCTTTGCGTTTTCTTCCTGCTCCAACACAAAGGTCCACACCAGTACGCTTCTGAAATCTGTACAGCTAATGTTCCTGACAGGTAGCACTAAGGTAATTCCAGTTTCAAGGGACAGCTGAAAATAACTTTGATGACTTTATTCCACTAAGGTAATTCCAGTTTCAAGCTACAGCTGAAAATAACTTTGATGACTTTATTTCAGAAGAAAAAAGGTCAGCTCCTATCTGCTGCAAACCACTGGCAGGCACCCCCACTTACAGGGTCTGAGAACCATCTGTTGGGAATGTTCGGCCTTTGCTGATCTACACAGACCACTTTTCTCATGTCTTCAAAACTGGGATCGTTAGGAACCAAGTCATAAAATGGTGGTTTATAGTCTTCCACAATACCTGGCGAGACACAAACAAGAGAGGCATTATTTAATGACTGTCAGTGAAACAGCATTTCTGCTTAGGGAGAGAGGCACATGACCTAGTCGTCTAAGAAACACAAAAATCTTTTGGAAGTTAACACCATGGTGTCAAGCAGCCATTAGACAACAGAATAGCACTTACTATCATAGGAACAGCTTTTTCTACCCAATATGTCAATTAATTGGGTCATACTACAATTCCACAAAATAAGAAATATACCTATTTTGCAGATGCTTGAGCTGAAATGATGAGAAATAAATTCACTTGCCAAAAGGCCATCTTTTATAACGTCTGGAGGTTTACTGACTACCACAAAACTGAGACTTCTACTAGCAAATGTAGAAAATTTAAGGTCTGCACTGCGGTTTTTAATAGGCTTACCACACACTGTGCACGATTTTATGATTCCTGAAAGCGTCCAATAAGCATGTCAGCATCTACAGCCCCTCACACTGCTGCTTCAAATAATTTTGTTTCTCATTACTAAAACAGGAAAATACCTAGGGTAATTGGCACCACGTGCCGTCACAAAGCCAAACACCTGAGAGCCTGTGGCACCCAGCGTCTGAATGCACTTTCTAGGATTCCGCGTTGAAAAATGAGTTTCTGTGTGCGCTCTCAAAACTTGTTGCCCAGCTTACATAAAACCGACAGGCCAAAAAGCCTTTTGCCTACTCTTTAAGGCATCCATGCAGCACTGCTGTTTCGTCAGTGGATTAAGCTCACAATCTATAGGGAGCTCAGCTTTCTGAGGGAGCCAATTTTACAACTGGCGTTCAGAGACAGGCATTCGGGTCAGCAGCTTGGAAAAACACCAAGCAAACAAGGCCCTCTACGTCCAGTAGAAACATGGGCAGAACAATCTTAAAACTGCTTTTTAGCAGACTGGCAGCTGTCCCACAGTCAGATGTACAGGAAATCCAGGAGAATTTCTATTGCTTTGGATATACTGAAGTTGAAAAGAGGTTCTCAAACTTTGCTACAGTGGTTGAGTTTTAGTTTTCTTGTTCTATTGTAAGTGAAGATCAGAATCCCATAGATACTCTGTAAAAAAATCTGTAAATCCCTATCTGTGATGACTAGTTGAAAAGGGAAATGGTCATCAGGAAACTAAACTCCCTGAGAAAACAGTAGGACAGTTCAAAGATCTGGCTACCCAAGTGAGTCACCATAACAAAGTAACTAGCAGACTGCAGGGGTTGCCCTGTGGTATTCCGACATGGATGCAGGAGGACAGACGATATTATGTGCTGCGTAAAGAAGCATCCCCCACCCTCCTCCTTTGAGGAATTCATAATTGCATATACCAAACATCACCTACAGGGCTGAACTCTGGTCTTCACACTCCTGCTTCCTCCCAGAACAGAGAATAAAGTTTATGGTGAGAACTCAAGAATACAAAAAACCTCTTGGGTACCCACATTGTCTGTACTTCCGTTTCAGACAAAGCAGTGGCTCTATACGAGTCAAATGCAGAACTTCAGAGCTACGGCATACAGCTCTGGAAACCTTTCCATGGTCATTAGGATATTACAGATGAACTTTATCATTAAGAGAGAGAGAGTCCGGCTCTAATTTACTATTTTCATGTGGTCTTTCCGAAGTCTAGGGTGCGTAAGTGGCTATTTCAGATAAGACAGAGTAATAAATAGGAGATGAAGTGGGTCTAGCCTTTACTCCAATAGAGCGATTCTAGAGTACTCTGATCTGCTGCAGCCAAACGTCAGAGGCCCCGTGGGACCAGCGCCGGCTCCGCAGCGGTGCGGCAGCGGTGCCAGCAGCTGCTGCAACCTCTATCCCACA